TCCTTAGAAAAGTCCCTCCCTCCCTCTTCAGTGTTAAAAGGACCCAGAGCAGGTATTCTATTTTTTGATCATTCTTTAATCACCAGCTTTTCAGTGCTGACTGTAATAACCCCTTTGAAACTTGGATCAAAATATCTCTTTTCCTGGCTGAAATTTGTTTTCCTCCATCACCAGAGCAAATTCAATTTGCAGAAGATGCTGAATTGGGAGGCACCTGGTACTCCCTCCAGAGAGGCCAGAGAAAAACAGAAGCACATTAGAAATATGAGAAAGGAAATAACAAAACGAAACCCAGCCTGCAGGGGAAGAAACACCCATCTGGGGACAGACTGAGGTGGTGCTTGGTGAAGAGAAAGGAAGATGAGAAAATGTGCACATCTCTGTCATGGAACCAGGCTGGGAGAGCTGGGGGTGCTCACCTGGAGAGGAGAAGGATCCAGGCAGAGCTCAGAGCCCCTTCCAGGGCCTAAAGGGGCTCCAGGAGAGCTGGAGAGGGACTGGGGACAAGGGATGGAGGGACAGGACACAGGGAATGGGGTCACACCGACAGAGGACAGGGATGGATGGGATATTGGGAAGGAATTGTTCCTGTGAGGGTGGGGAGGCCCTGGCACAGGGTGCCCAGAGAAGCTGTGGCTGCCCCTGGATCCCTGGAGTGTCCAAGGCCAGGCTGGACATTGGGGCTGGGAGCAGCCTGGGATGGTGGGAGGTGTCCCTGCCATGGGACAAGATGAGCTTTAAAGTCCTTTTCAATTCAAACCCTTCTGGGATTCTGATTCTGTGATCTGCATTGGTCACACAACACAGGAGAGGGGGAGAAGGGTGAATTTGGAGCTGTCAGGACATGAAGACACCTCACTGTGACCCTGTGGGGCACAGGGGGTCTGGGATGGGTCCCACATCATCCCCTCTGCCCTGGTACCCTCTGGAGAGCCCACAGGAGTCACAGGGTCAAGTCCTGCAGGCAGAACCCCACAGACAGACCCTCACCCCTGTCCTGGGCCAGGAGGAGCCCCCTGCCCAGCCCTGCCCCTGCAGTGGATCCGTCTGGGGCTGAAATCAGAACCAGCAGTGACAGGCAAGATCGTGGCCACATCGGGGAGAGATGACCAAGGCAGGTAAATTTAACACAGCCTGGAAAAGACCCCGGGTGGCACATTTGCAGCCTATAAATACCTTCAATAAATGAAAGAAGCCCCTGCTCTCCAAGCTGGCTGCACCAGGAGCGCTGGCAGTACTGCCACGGGGATAGGAGGAGGAAACCACAGAGGACGGAGCTGCAGGAACATCCTCCCACCTCCTCTGCTGCGTTTTATTCAGATTCTGTTTATAAATAACAACTGAATGGTTCATAGGTGAGTGAGGCACGATGTGGGCTCATTAAAACCCTGAGTAAGTTGCCTTCTGGCTGTCCACGAGCCCATCGTGGGAAGCTTTACAAGAGGGTTATCAGCYGCCGTTATTAAAAACCAATTTGACGTTATAAAAGATCCATACTGCTCGTTCAGCCACATTGATTTAGCCATGTTAAGCTTTGGAAAACTGGAGCAAGAGCCTTGATCTCTGCTGAAGCAGGGAAAATTGCTGTTTGTGACACATCTCCRCGCTCAGGAAATCCAGTTTTGCAGAAGTGACGGGTTTTGAACAAATCCATAAAGCACCGTGCTATGGTTGTTGGGGGTGTTTTCCCAAGCAGCTGCAATGTCAAACAGCTCTTGGAAACCTTGTCCTCGGGTTTGAAACACCCAGAAGGATCTCAGCTGCAGTCTGCCCAGCTCAAACACACCTCCAGACCCTTCTCCATCTGGTTCCAGTTCCCAGTGCCCGCTGTGTCTCTGCTGGGAGGATGAGCTGCAGGCAGGTGCAAGGACATGACCCAGGRAGCCCACAAGTCATTTTTCTCCTCACCTTGAAGCCTCTTTCTTATCCTCAGCACAGCAGGGAAGGTGGATTTGTGCAAAATAACCCRGGAAGTGCCTGGCACGAGAGAAGGTCTGGACTGTCACAGAGGTTTGGTCACACATCCTGTCCCTGTGACTGCTGAAAGAAATGGCTTCATGTACCTGGTGCCTCCTGTGAGCACCTGAGGAGCAGAACCAGACCCTCCAGGGGCTGGAAATCTGCCCATGGCTGGGAACCTCGGCAGGGACAAAGCTGTAAAGGGACATAATGGAGCAGAAATATTCCTGACAAAGAGCATGGGGCATTTCCACA